ACTAACATGACTTGCAGAGTCCCTCGTGGTAAACCCAGATAGTGACTCTGCTGGATATTTTTTTAGAGTTTGGCTGGTTTGGCTATTGATTTTGTGGTATTTTTTAGGGTTTGGCTAGTATGTGTCATGTAAATGATGGCAGTTGTGTAGTTTGTCAGTTAACAGAATGAGTTACAGCCATAAGCTCTGGGCTGCAAAATACCGATGAGAATGACATGTCAGGAACAAGAGAAAGAAAACTGACGAAGATGTTGAGACTCTAGATAGAGTGCAGAGAAGAGCAACAAAAATGATTAGGTGACTGTAGGCTGCAACATATCAAGAACGGTTGCTGGAATTGGGTATGTCTGGTCCGATAAAAAGAGGGACTAGAGGTGACATGATAGCAGTGTTCTGATATCTCAGGGATTGCCACAAAGAAGAGGGAGCCAAGCTATTCGCCAAAGCCCCTGAGGGCAGGACAAGAAGCAAGATGGAAACTAATCAAGGAGAGAAGCAATCTGGAACTAAGAAGTAATTTCCTGACAGTTAGAACAATTAACTAATGGAACAACTTGCCTTCAGAAGTTGCGAATTCTCCAATACTGGAAGTTTTTAAGAAGATCTGTGTCACAATTGATCTTTGATCTCACTAATCAAATCCAATTACCGATAACAGATTTTGTTTCAGCTCTGCTTGGAGCCCAGATTTTAAGAATGACTGGGTGTGTGACCTTAAACTTCTTATATTTAGACAATATCATTTGCACTAGATGACCTCCAAGGTCCCTTCCAACTCTGTTATTCTATATTATATATATAAGTTTTTGCGGGTATTTATATGTGTAGTATTCAGGGTTTTTTGGGTATTTTCCCACGTCATTATAGTTGTGCTTTTAAAATTGTAGCAATGTTTTGGCAGAATCTCATCTGCCATCATCAGGCATCATCACAATACCGAAGCCTGATGATGGCAGATGAGATTCTGCCGAAACGTTGCTACAACTTTAAAAGCACAACTATAATGACGTGGGAAAATACCCGAACAAAGCTGAATACCATATATGCAACTACCCACGAAAACTTAAGAATATATATATATACATATACATATACATATGCATATACATATACACATACACACATATACACACATACACACACACACACGCACACACACATACACATACACTGAAGGGACTAAATACCAATTTCATTACTCCTATTATGGAAAATTATCCAAAGAGACTGTTTTTCCAGAGATTTGGAAATCTTATTGTTGGCCTTATATTATTCCTGTCAAAAATGGTGTGTGTTTGTATGTGTGTGTGTGTGTGGATATCATGATGAGCCGCACCTCACATCTGCTTCAGGCTTGGTAAGAAACAACACAATTTTTGTCAACTACCAGTTGCAGGAGTCAAGTGGAGTTTAATGCCCTCATCTCCTTTAATTTTGCAAATTAACGGCCTATAGTTCCAGGAGTGAGATTTTAAGATTATTCTTGCCACCAATAAAACTCATTATCAACCTCAGGCAGTTGCCTTGGATTCTTTTTTACTTTGCTTGTCTGAAGATGGTCACAAAAGATGCAACCGTCATAAAAATGAGTCAGTTGCCAAGCATCCAAATTTTGATCATGTGATCATTGGGGATGCTGCAGTGGTGGTAAGTTGTCATTAAAATGAGGACCCAGATTGTTGGGTGCAATCTGCTGGCTCTGTAATGTTAAACCATTTAGAGATTTATGTAAAGCACTGTAAAGTGGTGTATAATATAAATCTAAGTGCTAAATGTTATTGCTACCAGTATATCCTAAGAAACCCGGAATATCCTAAGAAATAAGTTCTCAGACAGTCCTTTGGACATCAAAGGACTGATGGAATTAAAGCATTGAAGGATAAATTAAAATGTAACATTTTGCAGGTTTCTCCGCTAGCAGGAGCCGGAGGATAATCCCACACCCCTCCCATTTTGTTTGACATCCCCAGGAGAGCCCTGTGAAATATTTTGAAAGTTGTGGCTAGAAATCAGTAACAACATGGTTTTGTAGGGTGGCACATCGCCTCCTGCTGCCCACTGTAAGTTAAAGCAGCTAATGTTGCCTTCTGCAAAATTTAAACGAAGTTTATAAGGAAAACATAAGGTCAGCGTGGCATGTAAATCAGATTGGCAACACCTATAATGGAAAAGAAAAACATTTGAAGGGAATCTTGAAGCATTCAAGAAGAGATTTATTGGACTGCCAATTTGTCAGAAATGGTGCATGGTCTCCTGCTTGGGCGGAGGGAGGTGGGGTTGGACTAGATGACCTACAAGGTCCCTTCCAACTCAATTATGTTATGCTATATTGGACCCGGAAGCTGTCAGTGGGGTTCCCCCTCATTGTGAAACACAAGGGAGGGAGGGAGGGACGCAGCTCCCGCCGCCGCCTTTGTCCTGGCTCCGCCCCGCGCGTCGGCGCACGCGCAGAGCGCTCCGCCCTCCTGTGTGGTGGGGGGGGAGGAGAAAGAGGAGGTGGCCGGCCGGAGCGCGCGCCGCTCGCGAGAGGGGAGGCGTGCGCGCCGCCGCGGGCGTCGGGGGCGAGCCAGCGCGGAGCCGGCCGTGTCGTCGCGGCCCGTCTTCGCTTCTTCTCCGTCTCCGGCCGAGCCCGCGCGTTGAGAAGGGCAAGGAAGGGACGCCGACAGACGGGAGGTGGGTCCTGGGGGGAAAAAGGGAGAGGGGCGGGGTGGGGGCCGGGATCTCTTGTCAGGTGGCCGTGTGAACGTGCGTGCACGCATTGGCGCGTGTGTGCGTGTTAATAATGCCCGTGTCCCACCTCCCTCTGTGATCTCCATGTGCCTCAAGGGCGGACAGATGCCTCAGTCTAGACTTTCGTGCCGACACGTGTCTGTGCACGCGTGTGTGGATGAGCGTTTGTAATAACCCAGGTGTGCCTGTGAGTTTGACGGTGCCATTTAACAGGTCAGGGATCCCTCGGACACCAAAGAAGGACCTGCCTCTGTCTAAGCCGCCCCCCCCCAACATGCATCGCCGCCTTCTTGGAGAGCCCTTAATGCAAAGCCCCCCAATGAGTGGCAGGGGTCCTACAGATCCCCACAACCCCACCCCGGTTTTGCAGGGGTTGCTCTCCAAGGCATCCGTCTGAATGAGCCGGATCCTGTTTCACAGCGCAGACCCCTTCAGTCTGCAACAGGGATGATAATAATAAAAGATCTTGATCCATTCCAGCCTGGCTTCCAACTGGAGTTTTTGTCCCCAAAGTCTTCTGATTGTTTTCAGCCACGGATAGAAAACAGATGGATGGACCCAGGTAGCAAGCGGCCTTCGACTCCTCTTTGTTACCTTGGCTTTGCAGTCACCTTTGTTCCTTGGCTCTGGAATTCTGGGCCAGCATCTCTCTAGGTTGGACCATGGAGTCAGGGAAGGGCCGTGGCCTGGCTCATGTTTGAGAGGACAGAGTTTAAAAAGCGACGGGTTGTGTAGAAGGGAACCGTTTGTAATGTGGGTCCTTCGACGCTCCCCATATTTTTTGTAGCTACATGAAGCTCTGCTGGACAAAGGCCGTTGGCAGGTTGGCTTGAAATGTGATGAATGCCGTGGTGAGACATAGCTCCACCCTTCTTGGGTTACCTGCCGGTCTGGAAAGAGATGGTGAGAATCTGAAACGGAACAGATCTATGCAGGCAGGCTTATTAGCCTCTGTGCTAATGATCTCACTCACACAGCAGCCAATGCACCTACAGGTAGACCTTGGCCTACAACAGTTCGTTTGCTGACTGTTTGAAATTACAACGGCACTGAAAATAATGACTTATAACCATCTTATAGCAGCGCACTAAAAAGCAGAGACATCCCCCTGCCAATAAAAGTGCATATAGTCAAGGCTATGGTTTTCCCAGTTGCAAAGTATGGCTGTGAAAGTTGGACTGTAAGGAAGGCTGAGCGCCAAAGAATGGAGGCCTGGAGAAGACTCCGTGGACTGCAAGGAGATCCAACCGGTCAGTCGTAGAAGAGATCAGCCCTGACTGCTCTTTAGAAGGCCAGATCCTGAAGATGAAACTCAAAGAGTTGGCCACCTCATGAGAAAGGAAGGACTCCCTGGTGAAGAGCCTAATGCTGGGAATGATTGAGGGTAATAGAAGAAGAAGGAGAAGGCAGAGAAGGAGGGGGCTGGATGGAGTCCCTGAAGCAGTCAGCATGAGCTTCAGTACACTCCAGAAGATGGTAGAGGACAGGAAGGCCTGGAGGAACGTTGTCCATGGGGTTGCGATGGGTCGGGCACGACTTCGCAACTAACAACAACAAACCATCGTTCACACTTACGGCTTTTGCAGCATCTCTGGGGTCACATGATTTACATTGGGATGCTTGGCAACTGACTCACATTTGTGACCATTGCAGTGCCCCAGAGTCATGCGATCCCGTTTTGTGACCTTCTCCCAAGCAAAATCAATGTGGAAACCCCGTTCACTTAACAACCGTGTTGCTAATTTAAGAACCGCCGGGATTCCCTTAACAAACGTGGTGAGAAAAGGCATGAAATGAGGCAAAACTCACTAAGCTACTTAAAATGTCGGGCTCAATTGTGGTCAGGCGTTTAGGGCTATCTCTATTGCATATGGGCAAGATTACTATTTAAACGAATATAGAAAGGCAGTCAAGTAACTACCTTTAGGTTAAATAGGAAGCTAGCAAATCAAACATGCATTTTTTGAATGATCCATTTCTCCCCCCGCCCCGCTTCTCTTGTAGACGCGATGGATGAAACAAGATGCTGAAGAGATCGCCAGCTCTTTGGGAGCTTTGCCCAGGGGCACTGGAGTGTGAAAGAAGCACAAAATGAAAATGCTTCCCGGTGTCGGGGTGTTTGGGACCGGGAGCTCGGCCCGCGTGCTGGTCCCTCTCCTGAGAGCAAAAGGCTTCTCCATTGAAGCTCTGTGGGGGAAGACAGAAGAGGAAGCCAAACAGCTAGCTGAGGAAATGAACATTTCCTTCTACACAAGTCGGACAGATGATGTTTTACTGCACCAGGATGTAGATCTGGTTTGCATCAACATTCCCCCACCACTCACGCGACAAATAGCTGTGAAGGCTCTAGGTATGGTGTTTTTCCCATAGCCAGTTTTGGGCATTGTATAAGATTTCAGTTTTCTCTTGGGTAGAAGCCAACTGGAAGACGGTCACGGTTGTTGAGTGATTAAGAGCAGAAAATTGAACGTTTCATCCTGGAACAAATTGTATCAGGGAACTGGGAATTCTGTTGTTTAAAAAAAATCTCATACCTGGTGAATTTTCAGTTGGTAAAGTTAAAGGCCTGGTGTTTGCTTCTAACCACAAACTTGGAGGGCTATTGTTACTCCAAAAAGAACAGACCCCATGAATTTCCCATAGGAAAAATGGTCATACCACTGCATGCCTTGCAAATAAATAGATCATGGGGAACATACAGGAAAAAAAATTATGCGTAGAACATTTCCTGCAGAGGCTCGGATCCACATATGGTGAGCTTGAAAATGATTAGGCTTTAAGGCAATTGCTTTGTGCCCAGAAATATGTTTTATTTCAGGCTTTTGTTTTTGCAGGTACAATTTTCTGATAAACATATTTGCTTTTCCAAGAGTGAATTTGCATAGCAGATGCCACATATTAAACCAAAAATACCTTGGGAACAGAGGTCTTCTTTTCATTTTTTGACAGCCAGCTATCCTGCTTTGTTTAAACCCAAATTACAGGTAGTCCTTGTTTAGCAACCACAACTGAAATTGGCAACTTGATCATTAAGCAAAGGGTGGCTCAATGAAACTCTGGCTGTGTTTACAATCTTACTTCAGCTTTACAGACCTGTGAAAGTTGGCTGACCTGTGAGTCTTGGCTGCATAGTTACTTTCTCATCACCATTATAACTGCCACAGAAAGGACAACCTGTATTTCTGCATGGATTTATTTTGATTTATACAAGATAAAACTTTCCTATGTTTCAGTAACAATATTGTTGCACGGTCTTCTGGGCAACATAGAAAAAAAATAGTTATGTTGATTGTTGAAGGAACATTCAGGACGATTTGCACAATCTTTTCCTAAGCAATATAGCAAAAAAATAGTTACGTTTACTTTTGAAAGAGTATTCAGGGCAATTTGCTTGCCTGGGTGCATACAGGCAAAATTATATATTTCAGGAGCGTTATAAGCTGTTTTTAATTCTTGGCTTGACTTGACTTTCGCTTTCTTCCGCGTGCAATTGTCTGAATGCAGACTTGTACTTCTTCCTACTCAAGATTAATTCAGCATTCCACCCTTGCTGCGTCTGGCAATATTTTCTGCCCAGTGCCTGGGAGAACAGCCAGGTCTTCAAAGTCTTTCAGACTGCCTCTGGATTGCCTAAAACAGCACAGCTCGGTAGCTGTTTCTCAGGGTATTTTTCACCAGCCTCACCCCTGCAAATTACAAGCGTTATTGTGGCTTGTTGGCCTATCCAGCACTATAAGAAAGAAGATTACTTAGTCATTTATATTCCTCTTAAATAAAACTGAAATAATGCCCCAGGCTTTCAGAACATAAATGCTTTTTTTTTTTTTTTGCAGAAGTTAAAAAAGTGCCATTTTCGGTATATGACTGAATTAACTATATATGTTCTGAGAAGTTCTAAGGGATAAAGTTATAAATAAACCAGCATGTTTCTGTAAATTTGCTAAGCACTGGAAATCTACAAAGACTACAACAACATCTTTAAACTTTAAATGATAGAATGAACAACTTCAGATGTTCCGAAAAAAAAATAGAATTTTTAGTCACTGCATTTCTTGTTATCAGTCCATCTCGCTGCTATAACATGTATTACAAAAACAAGCAGACAAGTTCATTTTTCATGGATGAATTGCTAAAAATAACTTAACATTGCTTCCTGCTGAATTAACACAACCAGTTTAGGAGCATCTTAAGCACTAAAAAGATGACAGGAGGAACATATAGAAAAAATATAAATGAAATGCGAGCACCTGTTACGGTGCGCCTTATCCTCCAATCTAATGGGAAACATGACAAATAGTATAGAGGCCTGAAAATCCTTGCAGGCAGTAAAAAAAAATACAGATCACAGCAGAATGTAAAATAAAAACAAAGTAGTTGGACATTGGCTAGTTACAGCTGCCCTGCTTTCAAAGGCTTCATTCTTCTCATTGTTTGGGTGTTGAATAAAAAGTCTCCAAATTAACCATTGGATAAACAATAGAAATAAGGAATTAAATAAATAAGGAATGTATGAAAGACATATACATAAGAACAAATAGGAGTATAAAATATGCACAGGAATAACAATTGAAATGTAAGCGCTGTCCAAATGGATTGTAATATACATAACACTTTCTTTTTAAATATTTGTATTGCATTTTGTATTTTAATGTTTTAATTTTTCAATAAAGGTTTGTAAAAAATTTTCTTTTTAAAAAGTCTCCGAATTAAAATGCCGCCCTTTGTTTGCAGGAATTGGAAAGAACGTAATCTGTGAGAAAGCCGCTACCTCTCTTGATGCTTTTAGGATGGTCACGGCTGCTAGGTATTACCCCAAGCTCATGAGCATCGTGGGCAATGCCCTGCGCTTTCTACCCGCCTTTGTCAGAATGAAACAATTACTCGACGAGCACTATGTCGGCAGCATCCTGGTCTGTGACGTGCGTGTGTACTGGGGGAGCCTCCTCAGCCAGAAATACAACTGGATTTGCGATGAGCTGATGGGTGGGGGCGGCCTTCACACGATGGGCACCTACATCATAGACTTGCTGACCCACCTCACAAGCCAGAAGGCCGAGAAGGTCCACGGGCTGCTGAAAACCTTTGTCAAGCAGAACTCAGCCATCAGCGGCATCCGTCACGTCACCAGTGACGACTTCTGCTTCTTCCAGATGCTGATGACCGGCGGCATCTGCAGCACCGTGACTCTGAACTTCAACATGCCCGGGTCCTTCGTTCACGAGGTCATGATCGTAGGCTCCGCGGGCCGTCTTGTCGCTCGCGGGATGGACTTGTACGGCCAGAAGAACGCAGCGGCCCAGGAGGAGCTGCTGTTGAAAGACTCCCTGAATGTCCACGCGGAGCTTTCCGAGAAGGAATTTGAAGACATCCCTCTTCTGTACCTCAAAGGGATGGTCTATCTGGTGCAAGCGCTCCGCCTTTCCTTCCAGGATCAGGAAGACCAGCGGACCTGGGATCCCAAACCGGTGGCCATGGCCGCTTCCTTTGAAGACGGACTCTACATGCAAAGTGTCGTAGATGCCATTAAAAGGTCCAGCAGGTCTGGGGAATGGGAAACAGTGGAGGAGATGGTGGAAGAGCCTGATGCCAATCAGAACCTTTGTGAGGCGCTGCAGAGAAATAACTTATAATGCAGATATTCCTGCAAAACAGAACAATTGGAAACAGAAGTGGGGTGGAATGGAAGCAGAGGAAAGGGAGAAGGGTATCTGTGTGTGAAGGGTTTTTAATCCGGGAGAATTTTAAATGTGGCAGGTGTACGTGTCTTTGGTTACTTAAATTTAATAACTTGTGTATTGTTATGAAAACTTGAATTGCCAGTTGCACTCAGCGGACAAGGGCTCTGACCCCCACCCCCAATTCCCAAACAAGAGCTTTTGGGATGCAAAACTCTCTTCTCCGCCCAGCTCACGTATTAATGCAAGTTGAACATAATTGGCATGTAGTGCTTGAGAACGCCGATCGTTGTTTTTAAAATAGGAATTGGAAGTTGTTGGGTTTTTTTTACAGCTCTTTTGAATGGGAAACAGCTTCCCCAAAGGAATATAAGGAGTCAGATCTTTAGAACTGGTTTTCAAAGAGGATTAGAAGAATCAGAAACAGGTGTCTCATGGCAGATACACAATTTTTTGCTACAATTCAGGGACAAACCGGTAAAGATGATGTTCGCGCCTTGGGTTTCCCCAACTTGGGTTTCTGTCTTTCATGGCTCTGAGAAAGTTTGCATCGAATTATCCCAGTTTAGAACTCTGTAGCTAGATGCTCCAGACTCTCCGCTGTTTTTCAGTCTATCCGTGAAAGTAGAAATGAGGAAAAGATGATTGGAGCCCAAAGCCAAAAACAAGTGAAATGGGGAGTATATGTATGAGGATAACGGAAGAGACGGAGAGGATTTAGAATTAAATTCCTATATTCCTTCCCTTGAAAGAAGAACACACGCACCAAATCCTGCTTTTTGCATGAACAGGGTGAACTTGGAAGTTCTAATCTAATCTAATCTAAGTTCTATCTAATTTGCATCATCTTCTTGAATGCCCTTGCTTTATTTGATCTGACAAAACACTCGAAGGAATGCAGTTGCTGTTTGTGCATCTCAGTGCTTCGTACCCTTGCCGGTACGAGGGTGTACAAGACCCAATATTCTTTTCGGCCTTTTTTTCCATGCTGGCCAATCCCACCAAGGTGGTTTCTTGACCAAGCAAAAAAACAACAACAACACCATGTGCTTTGATGGTGAGAATTTTCAGCTGTTTAATGAAGCAAGCATTAAGACTGTCCAAAGGAAGGGAAGCTGACCTTGAAAATATATCCGTTTTACTCTTTTAACTGTAATCTGGTAGGGTTTGGCATTTTTTTGGAGACTATCCAAGATAAACAGTTTAGTGAAGCAAGCTCTGGTTCCTTGGCCTTTCTCCCATTTTTTTTTTTAATGCTGTAGGATCTCTGGAGGAGATTTTATCACCAGGACTCAACCGTAACTTTTTAAAACAACCATTAACTTTTTAATAAAGGTCGTTTACTTGAATGTTATTTTATTTTTCTTACATTGTTTTCCTACTGGGTTTTAATCCTGTAAATTAAGATAAAGCGTTAACAAGCATGTCTCCGTTGTGTTCTTTTAAGTGATAGTCTATAATGGAAACTGAGAACAGATAACAATCAATGACCAGATCAGCTGCTCTGCTTCCCCAGGGGGGAATTTTTTTTTAATTATTTTCTTATCTTTGGTGACTTTGAAGCTATTTTTAGCTACCACGGCTAAGTCTTATGATTAGCGGCTAAGTCTTATGATTAGCGTTTCAGTTGGACTGAGGAGGTCCAGGATTTATACAGCTTCTAGAGTAAACAAAAGGCAAGATCTTGAATGATGATTTCCCCCCGCCCCCATTTCTCTTCCCAGTACAGGTAGTCCTCAACTTACAACAATTCATTTAGTGACCAAAGTTAACAGCAGCACTGAAAAAAGTGACTTTCGACTGTTTTTCACACTACCATTGTAACATCTCCATGGTCACAATCCAATTTTAGATCCTTGGCAATTGACTCATATTTATGACAGTGTGTTAAACGTGAGCCACACAGGCACATAAGATTTGATTCCAGGAATTCAGAGATCTGGCTTCTGAATTTTTTAAAGTGTATCCTCTTTATATACTTTCACATTAGGAGCAGTAGGAATTTTTTTTTTTCCAAATACAACCTGATAAATAATACTTCAAAATAATACTTCAAAATTTATTGCTTGCAAATGTGCAAAATAAGTACAGGTCCAGGTGGTAACTTCTGTTTATATTTTGCCTTAGTCAAAAGAACTGATTTTCCGAAGTCATAAATTCCCCTCTTCCTTTTAAGGCAGAAAATCTGATTAAATAAGAACACTCGATGGCTTTGTCCTTCAGCAATAAGGAATCTAGCAAAATGCTGATGATAGAATTCTCTCTAAGAAATTCAAGATTCCTCAGATGTCTTTAGGGAACCTGTATTTGCCTTGGTAGATCCCCCCCCCCCCAAAAAAGTACAATCCAGTGATGGGAAAGTGGACAAAATAATTTAATTTGAAGTTTCCTTTGAGTAAATACTTTTTATTGTCAAAGGACAATGTAGTCCACCACCCCATCTCTTAAGTCTTGTTTCCTTGTTTATTTTCAGTGAATTAGAGTATCCTTTTCTTCCTTAATTCCCTCTGTAAGTTCACATCAGGATTCAAAGCTAAAAATATCATTTCTGTTCTCTGGGATTTCTTGTTCAGCACAGGGACCTTGTGACATACATTTTGTATGTGAATCTCTTTACTTTGTAAGGAGTAGTAGAGTATAAATGGTATGCACTTGAACCTGCAAAAGATACGTAAGAACATCTATTGATGTTCTGGAAATGTTAGCCAAATGTTTTGGAAGACCCCGAAGCTAGGATGGATGGACAAAGTCCTTCCCAGATGCTATTAAAAACGTATAGAAATTAAGGTTGTGTCATCCATAAGAAGCAGGTACAAATTATTTACTATCCTTGCTTGGACCAACTAACTCATAAGAGAGATTGCTATGGGAATAAAATGTGGGAGAAAACCCATGTACAACTTGGTCATTGTGTAATTACTCAGAAATGTCCTAAGGGCTCGAGGAGGATCGAGATGATGATGAACACACTTTTCTGTATTTTTTTTTTATACTCATTTTGGCACTAATTTACCGTATTTAGACAGGAGCAATTCCACTCCTGTTTAGACTGCCTCCATTTTTTCCTCTTATTTTACAGCAAGGAACAAGACAAATACTTACACTTTTTGACCCTGACTATAATGAACAAAACTTACAAGAATTTGATGCTCCTCAGATGACCTTCAAGGAGCACCTTCCAGTTTCTGGAATAAAAGCACCGTTGAGCGACGAGCTTGGCCTCCTATCAGATACGATTATTTGTTCTGCGGTGACAGGGGTGGGACTAGGTGAGCTGCACAGACGCTGAGCATCTTATCAATGTCCACTTGAGTCGACTTATCCACCTCTGTTTTCACCGCAGCTCCAGAAGTGGCACTCGGTAGACTCCGCAGTTCCCTGCCTTTCTCTTCTGCAACTGCTACAAAAAAAACAGAGGATCACTATGGAGTAACTTCTGACCTAGGTAGATAAGCAAAGGTAATGATCGCAAACAGAGTGGCTTTTTGAGTTCTGTAGCATAGATATTTCAAACTGCATCATAACTTCAGACTTTTTGAAAAAGGAAAGACATAGATTTCACATGAAGAATAGGTTTAGCTAATCACTAAGAGCACCAAACTATTTTTCAATTCCAGCCCCTCTTCGTTTCCAGATTGTTACCTATTGATGGAGTTGTTCTCAGTTCTATGGTGCCTGTCTTGTTTTCTTGGGTAGGAGGAGCCTCCATTGGGGGCAGATCATATTCCTTGTCCAATGGTCTATTCATTTCTGGGTTGTCGTAGTTAATGTATTGATATAAAGGACGCAAACGCTGGGGTTTTTCTAGAAGTAATGAGACAGTGAATGTTGTAGAGCAGATAACCTCTGAAATATAATGATCTGTTAGTGAATACAGCTACGGTACTCCTTAAACATGACAAATGCAACCCAATTTGGTGTAGTGGTGAAGGCATCTGGCTAGAAACTGTGAAATTTGTGAGATGATTGATAGATGAGAGAGAGAGATGACAGATAGATTCCCACCTTTTGTTAAGGTGGAAAATGAGGTAGGGATTGTCCCTGAATCTTTATCTGACCTATTTAGGTACATACCTTGCAAACCTGTCCAACTGGTAAAACCATAAACACCTTCAACTGTTTTGCTTACGACTTCATCCATCCATCCATCCATCCATCCATCCATCTATACATCTATGCTTCCATACTTCCATACATCCATTTATTCTATATGATGCTGCATTCCCTTAGTTTATGAGTCATCATAAGAAACAACGACTTTGGAACTGGATTTCCCATTCTCCCATGGTGGAATGTGTTTGAGAAAAATGGTCTTGGTTTTCCAAACAAGCAGTAACACTGTTCTTTCTTTTCCATGTCTGCTTAGATCTTTCTTGAAAAATTTCACATACACATACTTCATGGGACTGAGTGCAAGATATAAGTAGCATTTGCTACTTACTATTTTCTGTGTTTCTATATCTATCTATCTATCTATCTATCTATCTATCTATCTATCTATCTATCATCTATCTGTTTCTATATTGTGAAAGAGAAAAAGATGTATCTGTACCTGATACAAATACAATTAATTTTGGAGGAGGAGTTCCTTACTAACAAATGAAAAAGGAATTACATTCATAATAACTATTTTAATCAGTAGTTATTTAATATTTATTGATTAAATCTCATTTATGTTTTTTTCTTCTGTCCTGGTCTTTCTGCTGTGGGACTCCTGACAGAGCAACAATTAAGTCAACAGCTAATAGGCTAGTAGTTAAGATAAACTAAACAAACATTATCCCCTCATTTTCAGACCCTTGAAATGCAGTACTTGCATCAGAAAGTAATACAACAAAATGCTGAATATCCCAGGTATTGCCAATCACTCAAATCCACCCTCCGATGCTCTCTGTCCACTCACTCTCCGTAGTTGCAGATTCTGGGGGCAGAGAAGTCGCCGGGGAGGCAGGTGGGACTGGGGCGGTCTCTTGAGTGGACTTTCTTTTCTTAGATTTCTTGGGCTGCTTCAGGAGAAGAGAAGCTTCCATTTTGGCGCTTTCAGCCTCCTCTGCCCTCGGAGACAACTTCTTGAAGTCTGCATGCTGAAAAGTGAGCATGTCAGAATCAGTTCTGTGGGGCAGAGAGAAGATAGGAGCAAGAGGAAAGGTCCAGTCCCTCTCCCTTAACCCCCCCATCCAGTGGTGGGATTCAAAAAAAAAATTTTTTTTTTAAATAAAGTTTTAATTCAGTTCTCCACATTTTTAAAAACATCTCTTTTTAGTGAACAACATGATTCCAGGTTTTCACATTTCATACAAAAATGACCATAATTGCAACATTCATCTTTCATATTCAACTTCATATCTTATCAATACTTTTACATATTTCTACTATATTTTTTCCAAATACTTTCCTCCTAGTTGAATCACAAATAACTCTCATATCTTCATAATCATTATACTTTTGTACTTTTATCTGTCAGATTTGCAATTTCATCACATATTCTTATTTCATCACTCCACAAATTCTAGTTTCATTCAAACATTTCAAAAAAATTCCCCCCCCACAATTACTAATTTGAGTATGCCATCCCTACAGCTTGCATGTTCTTTAATTATTCCCCCTTTATATCCCAATAAACATTTAACTTATTACCTATAGATTTAATAATAAAAATCTCCTAACAACTACATAACATACTGTTGTATACCTTTTAGGTTAAAGTTAGAATGATTCCGCATAGCATTTCCCTCTTCCATTTCAGAAAAGATTTTTTTTATAACTTCGATAAAAAAAAAATTAATCTATTCAATTAATCCTAAACACTGATATTAATCTCATTACAACAATCCTCGTAATTCTTTTCAATTGTGTTCTATGTATTCATTAAACATATTTAATAAACTTATCATTATTTCCCTTTTTCCATATTTATTCCATTTAAAAGAAAAAAAAACCCAAGCATTCCAATAGCAAAAGAAACTCTAGATGGCCCAATCCCTTCTTAGAAACCCACATTGCTAGACCATGATTGTTGGTTTGAAGTGTTGGTCTCTATGCCTTCTTCTTGCAACCATCCTTACAGAGGGCAGAAGAAACAGTCAAGATGAAGTCTTGCTCCAAGACGCAGGACCACCTACAACCAGTCTCGAAACTCTTAGGACCAGAAGGCCTTAGGGCTTTATAGGAAGTCCTCAACTTACAACACATTTAGTGACCGTCTAAAGTTACACCAGCACTGAAAAGAAGTGACTTAGGACCGTTTTTCACACTTAACGACCACTGCAGCATCCCCATGGCCATGTGGTCAAAATTTGGACGCTTGGCAACTGACTCCTATTTACGACGGATGCAGTGTCCCAGGGTCAGGCAATCCCCTTTGGCAACCTTTTGACAAGCAAAGTCAGTGGGGAAGCCAGGTTCACTTAACAACGGTGTTACTTGTTGAACAGTTGTGATTCGCTTAACAACTGTGACAGGAAAGGTCATAAAATGGAGCAAAACTTACTTAAATGTCTCGCTTACCAACAGAAATTCCGGGCTCAATTGCAGTCATAAGTTAAGGACTGCCTGTATTTTTCCTATCTTGGGTGATCATGATGCTTCCTACGCCGTTTTGCATAGAGAGATCTTTGGGGTCTCCAACCTTGGCAACTTTAAGGTTTGTGGACTTCAATTCCCAGAATTCCCCTGGGAATTGAAGTCCACAAACCTTAAAGTTGCCAAGGTTGGAGACTCCAATATCATTTTTTTCCATACGTGGAGATCTTCCTCCTGAATCAGGCTCAATCTTTAAAAGGAGGGGGAAAATCCTTTCATTCCACGCAAGTTTTCTTCCACCTGTGCGTCCTGAAAACCCAAAACACTAAATCTGCGATACTCAACATTCCCACTGCAGAATGATCTCCTTTGGAGTTCCAAGGCGCAGATTTCCCATAACTTACTTGGTCATCCTTGCCTTGAAGCCATAATTCGCCAGCCAAGCTTGCAAAACTGGAGCAGATTTCAGGTTCTTGAGCTCAGGAAACAAATCTTGGTGTTGCTGGACTTCTTCCTCGTACAGCTTGGCATGGAGGTTAATGCCCTTGCCATCTTCATGCCACTGGGAAGAAGAAACACCACCACCCTTAATCGTGAGAGGAGTGGTCATTGTAGAAGAGGAGAGGAAAGGAAGAAATGTGAACCTAATTTTCTCAGGAAGAATATGGAAGTTTATTGGGGTGAAGCAAATTAGTTTTTTAAGGCCCGGAGCATATTAAGGATTATTATTTATATAGTGTGGGCTTACGAAATACCGATAGTCCTTGACTTATCACCATTCATTTAGTGACTGCAAAGTTACAATGGCACCCCAAATAGTGACAGTAGAATGGAGCTGGAAAGCAGGTTAGTGGGGTGGGGAGGGAATGGAGATTTTGCAGTATCCTTCCCCTGCCACACAAGCCATACCCACCAAGCCACGCCTACAGAACAAGTAGTAAAAAAATTTGAATCCCACCACTGCTTGGTGGGTATGGTATGGCGTGGCTTGGTGGGCGTGGTATGGCGTGGCTTGGTGGGC